ATATATATATATATATATATATATATATATATAATTTTAATACTAGAAACTTTGAATTAGATATCCAATTTATTTAACTTTTTATAGAGACGGTGTTAAATACAAAATCTAAATCAAAATATCAAATAAACTTTGGAGTTTTTTTAAATATTGTTTATTCTTAAATATTTTAATATGTGTGTGTATACTAGTCGTTTATCCGCGCTAAGCGACATGTGCGAATAATCTTTTTCAGAAATTAGTTTCTGGAGACGATTGTTTTTTTTTTTTGCCCAAATGAAAGCGGGATGTGATGGTGAGAGCTAGAGTTTTTTTTTGTCGGCTGTGATGTGATGAGAGAAAGTGAGAGTAGCAAATGAGAGAGGAATGAGTTCGGCTAGCTTCACATCCGATATTTAAATGATAAGAATCACATTCGATATTTAAGGGATAAGTATCATATTCGATATTTAAAGGATAAGAATAAGCAAATTTGAAGTTGGAAATGAGATAGACATACAATCTTATCTTATTTTTTAAAAATTCAAAATGTGATCATTGACTTTTTGACTTGTTGACCGGATAAGATTTAAATTTTCTACATGCAGAAATTGATTGTACATATTGCATTATGGTTTGTACGACTTAATTTTAAGTTTGACCAAATATGTTTTATAAGGTATAATAGAAAGTAGATATATAACCTTATTTTTAAACTAATATTTGATATTTAAAATATAAACAATGATCAAAATAAAAAAAATTGTCATATAAGTTATATTCAGGTTAACTATAACAATAAGTAAAAGTAATTCAAAGTCGAAAAATATACTTAACCTTATTTATATATAATTGGAATACAAAGGTAAAACATTTTTTAGACGAAACTCGTCTATCTTATCACGTTACAATAATCTAGCGCAACGCACGGGTATACACCTAGTTATAAATATATATTGTCATAGCAAGCAATAAGAGCTATTCTCGCTCTAAATTTGCATAATCTGATTAAAAAAAAAGTGAAATATTTGTTCTGAATCATATTAAACCATATTTGTATTTGAAGACCCTTTATTCATGTATTCGTTAATCACATTTTACTAAGTTATATTATGTTAAAAAGATAAAAGGGAATGTATCTTATTTAGGTAATTAACTTTTCGATTTGTTCACATCTAGGTAACTATCTTTTTTTGTAGACTTCTAGGTAACAAACTTGTTGGAAGTGTTCACATATGACCATTATAATCTGTTGTAGCGGTTACATCCGGCTATAGCATGTCATAATGATCATATGTGAACACTTTCAACAAGTTTGTAACTTAGATGTCTACCCAAGTTGGTTTGGGGGAATTTGTGTGTTTGGTAACTTATTTCTTTAACTCGGATGATCCCTACTGTTTATTTTTGTTGCGCGTTTGGTCCATGTCTCTTACCTAAAAAGACTATTGTGCCTTTATTAAATTATTTTTTTAATTAATTTTCTTATTATGCATTTATTTTTTATATATTAAAAAAATAGACCTCACATATATGTATCTCCTCACCATCTCATCTCTCATCCTCCTCGACTTCTATTTCCTTTCCATCTTTAGTGACATCGACATCTTCATCATTCTTTTTTTTTTGGTCCTTTAACTCTGACAAACCAACACCACAACCCACTAAAGATGAAGAGAGAGTGGGTTTATGCTACTAGTAATAAATATTCATTTTTCGTGGCTTCATAATTTTTGGGTTTATGTTACTGGCAGTAGACATTCATTTTCTTAGATTCGTATTCAATAGTTTTATGTTGGAAATCACAAATAACTCAAAATTTTTATGTAACGTAATTAGATTTGTGTTGATTTTGTTTTGGGTTGTGCATAAGTTATCTGATACAAATACGGTGTTGTTGACGATCATGTACATGAATTCTCTGATGAAGGCTACATCCATCATATATATAAATAAATTTCATTTATGGTTTGATTTTTACAAGTATAATTAATACAATGGTAGTAGTAATACATTAGAGGTGGAGATGGAGGCGAAGTCGGTGGTGGTTGTGGTAGACGTGGTGAAGGGTGGAGTTGGGTCATTTCAATTAACATTAAGGTAAATAATAATAAAATAAAATATATAATGAAGAAAAAATAGTCATTTTAGGTCCGACAGGGACTAAATCCAAAACAAGATTAAAACATTAAGATAATATGAGTTAAACAAAAATTAATACCATAACGTACATTACCCCAAACCATAGGGACTATTCACGTAACCATGGAAAATATAAGCACGAGTAAATAAATAAATGATGGACCTGATTCTTTCCAAATTTGGGTATTTCGAGACCCACGGCGGACGGCGGCGGAACTGACAGATATATGGCCGGTAGTTCCGTTGTGTTGACTGAACTCCACTGGAACTCAACCAGCTGGGCTAAGGTAGTCGGTGAAATAGCAAGTCTGGAGAAGAAAACTTTTCCCGAACACCAATCATACCCTCGATCGTTCGATGATGAACTCAAGAACAAAAACAACGGTTTAATCTACTTGGAAATTAATGGTGACCTTGTTGGCTATGTCATGTATTCATCATGTTCTTCATTTTCTGCCATCATCACTGCAATCGCAGGTATCATCTGCAATCTTTTTTCTTTTCTCATCCTCTGCGTTGTGTATATGAACTCTGAACTATAATTCCAGTTTGATTGTTTTTATTCTTGATATATGTAAAAACAGGGCTAATGGATTAATTGGGAAATCGATTTCTTTATGTGTTGCTTTGTTTTACCTAATTTATGAATTTTTAGGTTATGAATTTTTCTTTGTTTTTAATTTGTGGGTTTTTGTTAACGATAAATACTAGTGAAGGAGAATTACAGAAGACAAGGGCATGGAGATGCACTATTAATGGCAGCAATAAAGAAATGCAGGAGTAAGCTTATACACCGTGTATCACTTCATGTGGATCCATTAAGAATTCCAGCAATGAATCTATACAAGAAACTCGGTTTTGAAATCGACACTCTTTTGAAGGGTTATTATTCTTTAGATCGAGATGCATATATGATGTCCTTAGACTTTGATGAAGAGTAGCAACACACTTCCATTCATCGGTTTTATAGATATTGATTCCTTATGTTTCATTGATAGGTGTCTAAGTAAAACATTTTGTGGAATATGATTTTCAAGATTTTTTGGTATAATCAATGATTTATGTTGATTATATTCTATTACAAATACTATTTTAATCTTCTATTTTTTCACACCACTCTTAACAAATCTCTCTTAATTTTCCCAACATTCTTACATTCTTAAGTTCCAAATGGATTCAAGCTGATCAAGCCATGTCAATGTTAAGAAAACAGGTTACCTAAAGCAAGAAGTAAAGCTAATTCTTACATTCTTAATTTTCACTACATTCTTACATTTAGAGAGAATTTGCATTGGCCAAGGCTTGGATCGGCGATTCAGAAGACCCGAAATATGAGAAACAACAACAATCTTATTTCTTTTGGATGAAAATCCTTGAAAAAATTTCAACACAATTTAGGGGTTGGGGGGAGGTAGCGGTCGGTCCATCAAATGAATTCAAAGTGGAGGACATGAATGGATAGATCAACAAGTTCAACTATTGTACACAATAAGAAGATATAAGAAATTGATGTTGGAAAATAACCCGTTAATGTGGTCATCGGATTATTTTGTAATGTTTTTATCAGTTGGGTACAATTATATTATGTATCGTAATATTTGTCATGATAACATAACAAGTCCCTAGTATTATGTATCGTAATATTTGTCATGATAACATAACAAGTCCCTAGTATATATCGTGAAAATGACATGTTGTCTATAACTTAAAGGACGAAATCAATGTGGTTATATATATTACTCATGATATGTAATTGATAAATTAAACACATAAATATGAGAGAAATTTACGAGGGAATATCAATTGATCCATTTCCTTTTAACATAAATTTTGTCACTCAATATAAACACCACAATCACATATGTGTTATTTATCCATCGGATTGATCAATAAGACACCATTACGTGAATTAAGAAAGAATCATGAAATTGTCATCTTCAAGATAAGGGGATATCATTTTCTCCGGGTAGATGTTCTTCATTAGGTTTAAAGTTTCTCCAACTAGATGTTCTTCACTAGTTATAAAATTGGGTTTTATCCACGTAAAAACCCATCAATATAAACATTTTATGTCGTGGTTTTTTTTTCATTTAACGTGAAATGAAACGTCACATCATTGAAGATAAGTTATGTTGCCGTTTATTGTGGTGAGTATAACCCATGGAAACTCGTTATTATAGTTCAAACCTGTCATTATATGGTAGTCTTTTTGAAGATGTATCTATCTTATTTTGATAACCGTCATGAACAATACACTTATAGTGACTTATGTCTTCCTATAGAGTTATAAACGTTCAATTATAGTCACCATTTATAAATATTATCGCGACCATTGTTGACGTTTGGAAACACAAATGTAATTAAGCTGTAAAGATAAGTTATCTTTACTAACATGTTTAATGATTTATCATTACTATTGTTTACATACACCAACAAATAAAAAATTAAGATATCACCAAAAATGATCTATACTAACGTGTTATTTCTTTTATTATGATTGATAACTTTTGCTGACATGTTTAATATTATATTGTGAATATTGTGTGAATTTACTCACTCATTGGGTAATTAAATAGTGACCATAATATACTTAATGTAACGTCCCAAAAATACCAAGTAAAAAATTCATTTTGAATTCAACCAAGACAATCATTCATTACTTTCAAAAGGTATCCAAGTATCAAAAAGTGTTTCTAAACAACATCAAAGTAATGGTAAAAATCAAAAGTGTGGAATCTCCAATGGATGTGATGTCACAACTAGCATTTTTGGCTAGGAAATTCCGTCCTCAAGTAATTAAGGACTATTGTGAGACTTGTGCTAACACATTTAAGTATACAATATGAGTTTCTAATGAGCCATGAAGTGTTAGAATGAAATCTCTCCAAGTATATCGAACCTCTCCCAAAACTCTCCAAGTATATGAAATTTCTCCCAAATCTCTTCAAGTATGTGAAATCTCTCCCAAATCTCTCCAAGTATGTGAAATCTCTCCCA